ATATCCAAGCATCACAGGAACTTTAATAAAATTTCCTGATTTTAATAAATCCAGAGGTCTTTCCGTAATAAACGCTGTTGGATTTGGTGTTTCGATGCTTGGGCTATAAAATCTGGGTTTTGCAGGCACAAGTTCCTGAAATAACATCGCCATTTACGAATCGTAAGTTTGGAATGATTATGCACTTACATCTTTTAGAATATCTTGTACTTTTACTATTTTTTCTGCGTCCTGCTTCCGTAGAAACTCCAAAATTTCGCGCTCATTCGAGCTTGAACATCCCAAAGCAGACGCAATTTGGTGAGCGCACTTGACTCCAACTGCCCAAAAGCTAGTTACAGTTCCACTTAGTAATATTGTCCGGTGAAAAAGTCCTATTAAGGATAATACCAACGTTAGAAAAGCAACGGTTGATTAAGCGAAAATTTTTGCCTTTTGCTGTTGGCGAAAGCATTAGAAAATTCACAGCTGCGGATCCCGCTGAGTGCCCAAAAACGGTAACGTTGTTCGGATCACCACCAAATTGAGAAATATTTTTTTGAACCCATTTCAATNCTTGAGATATGAATTAATTATTATAATTGATTAATGAAAAAAGAATAATTAAAGTCGGTTCACAATAACGAAGAAATCGCATTAAAGTACACATAAAGAGATGCAGTCGAATTGAGAACCTCCTTTTTTGAAAGTTGACTGAAAATAATGAGTGTGCTTTAATTACAATGATTGTGACATACTGTGTACTGATTTTGTATGCATTCGTTTGCAGAGGGGTCTTTGTCGCCAAAATAATGTTTTCGGATTTCATTGGCCATCAACTTCGATGCTTTACTTCCCATTTTAATTCCCCAGTCGTACGGAATCGTTTCTTCCAAATTTGTGAATTTGTGCGAGCTCACGATCTCTTGGAAAAATTCAAAAAATATACTCTCTTCTGACGTATATCCAAGCATCACAGGAACTTTAATAAAATTTCCTGATTTTAATAAATCCAGAGGTCTTTCCGTAATAAACGCTGTTGGATTTGGTGTTTCGACACTTGGACAATAAAATCTGGGTTTTGCAGGCACAACTTCCTGAAATAACATCATCAGTTACGGATCGTAATTTTTGAATAATTATGCACTTACATCTTTTAGAATATCTTGTACTTTTACTAGTTTTTCTGCGTCCTGCTTCCGTAGAAAGTCCAAAATTTCACGCTCATTCGAGCTTGAACATCCCAAAGTAGACGCAATTTGTTGAGCGCACTTGACTCCAATTGCCCAAAAGCTAGTTGCAGTTCCACTTAGTAATATTGTCCGGTGGAAAAGTCCTATCAACAATAATGGCAACGTTAGAAAAGCAACAGTTAACTAAACGAAAATTTTTGCCTTTTGCTGTTGGCGAAAGCATTAGAAAATTCACAGCTGCGGATCCCGCTGAGTGCCCAAAAACGGTAACGTTGTTCGGATCACCACCAAATTGAGAAATATTTTTTTGAACCCATTTCAATGCCATCACCATATCCTTTAAACCAGCGTTTCCGGGAACTTCCAAAGACTTGTCTTCAAAACCGAGAAAGCCTACAGGGAAATGTTAAGGTGAAATGTATCTAAATCAACCCATTGGTTTTGTTATCGCTTACCCAAAATACCTAAGCGGTAGTTAAAGGTCACAACAACAACATTTTGGGTAAGCAAATATTCCGGATTGTACATGTCGCTGTTACCAGAACCACACAAGAAGCCACCTCCATGAACCCATACCATCACAGGTTGAAGTGCTTCACTTGGGATCTTAAATCAATTTAANCCTTGCTCAAATACTTTTAATCTTGGTCTTGGTTATTAACTTATTATTAACTTGCAATTAGAAAAAGCTTTTATTAGTAGTATTATTAGATGTTCGTTTTTGTCGCACATATTAGTAATTTAGATTTTTTGTAATGCTACTTTTAGTTTTACGAATGAAAAAGCAACAAGAGTCTTTACAGTAATTTACAGATATTGTATTTACCTTGAATCTTAATTCTCCAAGAGGAGGTTTCGCGTATGGAATTCCTTGAAAACTAAAATATTTGTTCCCATCGTAGTCAACACCTTCCCGACCCTGTAGAAGTCCTTGTTCAGTTTTAGTAATCATCTTACACTGCCATGTATGTAGAAACGTAACCAACTAGATAGAAAGTGCAACAAATAATGATATAACTCAATTTATATACTTGTTTAATTATTTAATAATTTACCGTATCTCCTCCTTTACCGATAAACATATTAGACAACAACCTTTCATGGCTAACTACGACAAACATACATAAGTACTTACCACATTTTTGGATATAAAATTTCTCTAATTATGTAATTGTTCGTTAAAATAGACTGTGATTTAGTTTGTGTTTACTTTGTATTAAAAGCTGAATGAATATTACATATACCTGACATATCTATGTACATAATCAGAACCTTGATCTATTCTACATTTGTTTTTTATACCTTTGGTACTTTTCAAAGGGGTGATAGGGATAGATAATACCCACCGATATCGCAATGTTTCAGCATTCTTGTTTAACGGAGAAAACAAAATTTTTATGATAACACAAAAATTTTCTATTGTAAATGATTGAATTTGCCGTAGAAATCGTATAATTTGTTAGATAACTTGTAATAATGGCAATTTTAGCTCAGAATAGGAAAGAGTGGAGGTACGTGTCCAACCAGTCTTAGGACTGATGACCTTATGATGATGAATTGTTACAATTTAATTTGTAATATCATCTGAAATACCAAGTAAATTCATTTCTGTTAGGATTTTATTTTTACAAATTCGAGTCCAAATTGTAATTCTTATTATTTTCGCTTGCGAAGCAACGGCCTAGTGGGATAAATTGTAAATATTGCTTTAATATTTAGGTAAATTTTCCTTTTT